AACTAACATTAAAGTTTGTATACAAGTATCTAATGAATCACCAAATTAAACCCTGCAAAGTATGTCTGACCTGCAGGTTAAATATATGCCATGGCCTCTAGACTCTCACAGTTTCACTGAGAAACTACGATCCTACAGAATCAGATACAGTAGATAAATAAATCCCAAAGTCAAACACGTTTGGCAGGATCAATGTGTAGATTCGGTTGGCTTGTCCTCCGGGTGCCAGACTCAAAAGCTCTCTCACTTTACTTCAAAGAAAAAAAGACATTTGAATTTCTAATCTCGATCCTATCAGCAGGCCCGAGGCACAGCGGCTGGCAAGAACCTGCGTTTACAGGAAAACTAGGACAGTATCTGGGCACCATGAGAAGGATTCACACCTAAAGCCCAATTAATTATTTTCATCATGACTTCAGGAGCCAAACAGAGATTCTGTGCGAGGATAATTGAGCGTTTGTGACTCAGCCGGAAAGTTTATAATACTGCTGAAAGCATTTTGCTGTAAGGCCACATTCATTTCTCAGACAATTTCTTTCACACCTGCCACAAGATAAAGCAATACGTCGCAAAACAGTTAGACAAGGTTGTGTTCAAATGAGCAGGTGTTTTGCAGAAAAAAAGCTGCACTGCAGGACGTCCTGCAATAAGAGATACACCTGCTCAGGTGACATTTAGCTCTGGAAATGTCAAATATGGCTGTTTGTGCTTCATAATTGCATGTATTATGCATCATTTTAAAATGTGCTATTTGTGAAAAAAGTCAATGTGGGGAGTGATGAAATTGAAAATTGATCTGCATCTCCATGCAACTGAAGAAAAATAAGGAACAAAAAAAATTTGACATTCGCAACTAAAGATTTCCTTTTAATACATATTGATTTATTGCAACCTTCTGCATGATTCCCACTTTAAGGCAACTATAAAATTCCTTGTCTTTCACTGACTACAAAACTGAATTTCCCTGACATTCAAGTGAATTCATGTTTATTTCTATAATGATTTTACAATGTAGATTGTGTCAAAGCAGTTTAACATTACCAAGTTCTAATAAATTGAAACTGAGCCAGTCCAGACATCTAATGAACAGAAAAACAGGACGCTGTTGTGCTAATACAGTTGAAGTCACAATTACTAATACCCCTTAGAATTTTTTTTCCCCAAATGATGTTTAACAGAGCAAGGAAATTTTCACAGTGTGTCTGATAATATTTTTTCTTCTGGAAAAAGCTTGAATTTCAGCTGGAATAAAAGCAGATTTAAATTTTTTAAAAACATTTTAGGGTCAAAATTATTAGCCCCTTTAAGCTATATATTTTTTAGCCGATAGTCTACAGAACAAACCATCGTTGCCAAATTACCCTCCTGCTTAGTTAACCTAATTAACCTAGTTAAGTCTTTAAATGTCACTTTAAGCCTGTATAGAAGTGTCTTGAAAAATATCAAGTAAAATATTATTTACTGTGGTAATGGCAAAGATCATTATCTCATTATAAAATCAGTTATTAGAAATGAGTTATTGAAACTATTATGTTTAGAAATGTGTTTTAAAAAATCTTCTCCGTTAAACAGAAATTGTGGGGAAAAAAAATAAACAGGGGGCTAATATTTCATGGGGTTTTGATAATTCTGACTTCAACTGTATTTTAAAGTTTTTTCTCAGTAGCTTTAGTACATTTCTCAGAACAGAATTGAATTTCTTTCAACTAACTGTTTAATCTTAAAATCATTGCGTCACTTCATTCATTTTCTTTTCGGCTTAATCCCTTGATTAATCCGGGGTCGCCACAGCAGAATGAACCGCCAACTTATCCAGCAAGTTTTTACGCAGCGGATGCCCTTCCAGCCGCAACCCATCTCTGGGAAACATCCACACACACATTCACACACACTCATACACTACGGACAATTTAGCCTACCCAATTCACCCATACCGCATGTCTTTGGACTGTAGGGGTAATGGAACACCCGGAGGAAACCCACGCGAAGGCAGGGAGAACATGCAAACTCCACACAAAAACGCCAACTGAGCCGAGGTTCGAACCAGCAACCTTCTTGCTGTGAGGCAACAGCACTAACTACTGCGCCACTGCCTCGCCTTCATTGTGTCACTTGTGCACTTCAAAAAAAAAAAGAAAAAAAAAGCAGTTTCAATTTGATTTATTTTGTGAAATCCACTTACAGTTTTGCAAATATCAAGGATTATTCAATAAATGCACCAAAGTGACTGAGAAAATCTCTAATACAACATTAAATCAATGTTTTAAAGTTGAATAACTATATTAAAAAAGATTCAGTTGAATATCATTTTTTAGGCTGTAAAAGCCACTATGAGGACTGCACTGTAATGTAACATTTAAAGCTAGTTCTTAAATAGCTTCGTGAACACTAGTGTTTCAATGGCTGCGTGTTTTTTAAGATCTGGGAGTCGCAAACTACACATATTTTTTTCTAAATATGGAACCCAAATATATTGTATATCATTAATGCTGATTTGTAACTCATTATAGGTGGGATTGATTTAGCAGATGTCAAGTTTTGAAGTCTACACATTTCTCTGTAATTTTTTTTTTTCTTATATATTTAATTCATTTTTTTCCCCCTCTTATGCTTTCTGGATGATATGGTATTATGTTGTGTCCGACTGCGTGTGTATTGTCAAATGGCCTTTGAACCCGTTTTTTTGTTCTGTTTAAGTTAATGTTTATTTTCATATGCTAAAAAAGCAAATTTAAAAAATTAAACTGGCCATCACTTCAGATAAAAGAAATAACGATCGAGCTGATAAATAGCCTGGAACCATAATAATTTGTAAAAAAATAAATAAATTTAAAAATTAAAAACATTTAAAAATGCAGTATAGAAAAGTGACATTTTGATAAAATGGAAACTACAATTTAAAACGACAAACAAAAATCCCTGATCTTCCATGACTATAAAAATAATCTAAAATATTGATTTACAATGTCTGTTATAGACCTTTTAAAATTCTATGGTACAGTGCTCAGCATACTTAAGTACACCCAATTTAGAAAATGATTTTTTTATCCATTTCTCAGTGAATATAGGCAATGCATTTTGGTGCATTTAAACAAAACAGATTAAACAGATATATTTATTAAAATAATATTTTAAGTCACTAAACATATTTAGAAATTGAAAAGATGAACCAATTAAATTCAAAAGAAAAATTAAATGTAAACAATTAAATAAAAAACAAAATACAACTTGCTTCTCTTGATTTTTCCTTTTTTTTTAATTTGTAGTTCATATTTTCTGTAACAGAAATTTAGGTTTACTAGTTATTGCAAATTATTTTGTTAGATAAGCTTCAGTACTGACTAATCTAATGTAGGTGCACAAATGTAATATGGTATTGCTTACTATTAAAAATATTAAATTTAAAAGATAGATTTGTAAGGGGTGTACTTATCTATGCTGAGCATTGTATCCCAGAAATTCCATGACCCATGGAAACCCTGTATGTCATTTTAAAATATCTGAATGAAAACAAGCCTGAAGAGTCCAATGATATCAATCCATCAAATCAGCCTCATACTGTGCACGAGCGCTATCAGGCAGTCAACACACACTCCAGCATTGACTGACAGAAGAGGCCATTGTCACTCTCGAGGCTGTGAGCCTGTGGCGCTCCAACTCAAATCAATCCTTTCCAGTTCAGAATAGAGCAAGACACTTCACCCCAATACATACTGTACAAGTTCCTGCCATCTATCAGCCAGAGTGTCAATATAAAAAAAATCAGCTTTTGCAGTAAGTTTTTGTTAGCAGGAGAGGAAAAAGAGTAAAAGTTTAACAACAACAACAACAACAAAACTGTAAAATTATATCTGTACAGATATCTATATATATTTACACTATGCAAAGAAAGAGGTGGTGAAACGAACAATAAAATTAAAGAGAAACTGAAAAGAAACTAAAACTAAAAAAAGAAGAGAAACTAAAAAACTGAAGTAAAATAGGTGAATGTGAAAAAGAAAAAGTGAAAGAAAGGGTTGACAGTAGGAATAGTTGCCTTGTTAGCTAAACACAAAACAGTTGTCACGGTACTTGAGAGCCATCTAGTGCTCAAATAACGCAAAGACAACGAGCGTTTGGTCTGCAACTACCGAAATAATCCACTTAATTCTTCCAACAGTAACCACAACAGATTTTCTATTCATTTAATCGTCAGTCATGTGAAAAACTAAATTTTCATTTAATTCTGCAGAGTGTACTAAAAGAAAATAAGGGCAGACAAGTAAAAAATAGAATAAATCTTGCAAATGATCAGATCTCAAGTCTGTTTAACCTTTTTTTTCCTGCAGGGTGCATTCAGGGTTTGCCAATATATGAAAGATAAAGGGCCACATTGAAGTCATTCTGAAGTATCATCGCAAGAAAAACACACATTTAAAGATTTCTTTAAAAAGCATAAAATGATCAGTAGTGATCATTGGTTATTAATCCATATTTATATATATCCATATATCCATATCCATATATTTAAAATAATAATAAAAATGATAATAATAATAATAATAATAATAATAATAATAATAATAATAATAATAATAATAATAATAATAATAATGATAATAATAATAATAATAATAATAATAATAATAATAATAATAACAATAATCAAATTTATATCTTCAACCTTTCTATCACATCAAAAGATGAAAATCTGAGGGGGAATTTTGGGGGAATGTACGTTCATTTATAGAGGCCCCTACAGTTAAAAAATATCAACCTGGAAAAAGCTGTTTTTTTATTGTCTTAATCCACATTGTAACTACAGAAGAGTCAAGCTTAAAGAGGAAAATTATCTTTTTTTTTTTTTTAGCAAGAAGCTAATGATCTATCTAGATTTAGTGATTTATGCTAAGCTAAGATAAAAGTGCACCCGCCAGACCTGGAGATTAACTGAATGGATTTAAAAATGGTTAAACTCAATTGTTAAACTCTAGGCTATTTGTGAAAGGAGTCAAAAACGATTCCAAAAAAAGGTTGTTTTACTTTCGGAGCATGAAAACAATTCAAAGTGAATCAAATTAGAAGCACTAGACACAAGTCGTACACAAATGAACAAAGCAGTTTTCTTCTTTCTTTAAAAGCCAAAAGACTTGTATTCAGAAGTTTGGAGAACATGTTCTTGATTGTATTTTTTACACTCTAAATAATAAGTTAACAAAACATTTACTTTAAGATTTATTGACCTTGTACAACTAAACCCTTTTAAAGAAACATGCCTTAAACAAATTAGAGAATAGGTCAATAGTTTGCAATCATATTTACAGTATACAAAGTACAGTTTCAATAACTGTACGAAAATGCAAATAAAATGTATGTTTTAAATACTTACACATTTAATATTCAAAGTATGTTATTTTTTCTAGATTCACTAATACATGTTTGACACTCCAAGTTCTATAAATGAACTGAAGCTTTGCTATCAATCCATTTATATCCACCCAGGCAAAAATGCTGCAAAATGTTCGGCTCATTGTTTGTATTTAAAGAGATAGTACACCCACAAAAGAAAATTGTCATCATTTAATCATACTTCACCAGTTTCAAACCTTTAGTTATGAGTTACTTTCTTCTGTTAAACACAATGAAGATATTTTGAAGAAAGCTGAAAACCTGTAACTGTTGACTTCTATAGCAGAGAAAACAATTACTATATAAGGTTTTCAGCTTTCTTCAAAATATCTATTTTATGTTCAACAGAGGCAGGAACTCAAACATTTTAGAAAGACTTAAGGGTGAGTAAATAGTAGTTAATATTATTATTTTTGATCAATCAAATGATCCATTTGTTCATGGCAATTCTTTACATTAACTAATGCAATTAAAACTGCACCTTACCGTAAAGTGTTAACAGCAATCATTTCTCACCTTGACAGTTCAGTAATGAGAAGTAAACACACGATGATGTTCAGTGCTGAGACTGACGGTAATGAAAAACTTGTCTTATCCGTTAAGACAATCTTATAGAGTAAAAGCTCTTACCACACACTCGTACATCTAAAGTATTACCTCTCAAAAGAAGTCCATAATTCTTTCCCCAATACAGGAAAGGCACAAAACATCCCAGCCTGAGTGATTAAGTGTTCCATTGCTTGTCCATTGAAAAGAAATGTCAATCATTTCTTCGCATGTACGAAAGCATCAACCAGAATACGAGAAGACCGTGACATCACTTCTGTAAAGCTAGTAGCCGTTCCCCGTTCCTTAAATTTTAAGAGAAGTGTATCCCAGCAGAGTTGAACGCATGAAGAAGCCTAGCGTAAAATATGGATGCAGAAAAAAATGCTTTACAAAACACCCCCAAAACACAAAATGTACATGAAGTGAAGCGGGTTATACTTACACCATGAAATCATCTATATCCATGGAACGTGCCCTCTTATCACTGAACTTGGACTCTTGAAGGATGCTTTCAATTTTCGGAGCAATGTTGAAATCCTCAGGGATTTCCTGCAATTCAATTTGGAAATATTTAAATATACTTGCATCTACAGATAAGTGCAGTGAAAAAGTGCAGTTTACATCTGATAGCACAAGCTGATGAAGCTAAATACAGGTGTGAAGGGGGTCTAAAGAGTTGAGCTTTCCAGATTTAGAGATGTTTGAAAATGATTTTGATTAGACTTCTTTTGTAGCATAAATAGCTATAAAAGACACCCCCACTCCACCAACTGACCCAACAATGATCAAGCTTGTATATACTAGTGGTGTTACGGATTACAAATCTCACGGTTCGGATCACGTTATTGTTTTTTTTTTGTCACGCATCGGACCATTTTTCGGATCAGTCAAAAAGGGAGAAGACATGTCATTTGCTTTTTATTTATTACAAAAACAGTACTGCAAGACACTTTTGGTTTAACAAACAGAACTTAGAACCTGTAATTTTATTAAAAAGAAAAAAAAAATCAACTAAATAAAAATAAACTGTAAAATATTCAGAACTGTGAAAAATTCACTGTTACTACCGTTGCTGATAACACTAAATGTAGAAATCTAGCATTATAATTTGTACAACCTAAATTTATTTTTAGTTTCATTTTCAATAAATGATTCAGTTATTCACTCATAAAGCTTCATTGCTAGATATGGCATCCTAAATAACCTTCCACAACTTCCTCAATCATCATTATATCTACTATTATATACAATCTTAAAGCTTTCATACATGTGATTTGCATGACACGAGAGGCACTCACTCTGTAAATGGGTAACACATTACAATAAGGTTCATTAGTTAATGCATTTACTAACATGAACAACACTTGTACAGCATTTATTAATCATAATTGAACGTTTACTAATGCATTATTAACATTCAAGTCCATGCTTGTTAACATTAGTTAATGCACCATGAGTTAACATGAACTAACAATGAACAACTGTATTTTCATTAAATAACGTTTAATAGCATAAATAAATACTGTAGTAAATGTATTTTACATTGTTTGTTCATGTTAGTAAATGCATTAAATAACATTAACTAATGAACCTTATTGTAAAGTGTGACCTGTGAATGTTACAAATTTAGGATTAATCTACTAGTAAAAAAGAAAGGTATTAATCTGCAGGTCATGCGTGTTCTAAACCATGGATTGTGATACGTATAGTATGAGTCACAGATTAACCGTGATCCGTTACACCCCTAGTATATAAGTGTAAACAGGACTGAAGCCAATTTAAAGCAGACTCACTATATTGTGGACGGAGCAGTGAATCTTGTAGTTCTTCTCTAAAAGTTTCTCGACTGCAGCAGATCTGTGTTGACAAAAAAAATTTATTCCATATCATAAATAACAAGATTCCTTAAAATGTTTATATTTTTATACGTTTATACTTGCTCAACATAAAAAGCATTTAAAAAGGTCTTACTTGAAGGCAGCACTGAGCATTTTGTTCTTTCGAACAAATGCAATTCTGACCAGACCATCCCATTCCTATGAATGTAGGAAAAACACTGTTATATCATTTACAATAACCATACAGCCAATTTATCATTTCATTGAGCACACATGCCTGAAAGTTGACAGGTGGAGGAGGATTTTTGGGCTCTATCCTCACCACACTGGACTCAACTTTTGGAGGTGGTCTGAAATTGTTCTTTCCCACCTGCAAAAAAAAAAAATATAATAATAATATTATTTATTTTACAGATGACAGTATCAAACTATGCTGGGGAATTATCTATTCAAGCAAGATTCATAACCTTATTGTGTATTTTAATACTCATAACAATAGCCCCTTTCACACATACAGACCTTATGGAAAATTACCGGTAATTTTCCGGAAAGGTGTGTATGTGTGAATAGGCCCTTTTTGAAATACCGGTAAATTCATTCTGGCTATTTTCCGGAAAGATAAGTTGTAACATTACCGGTAATTTGCCGGAATGCTGCGCTGTGTGAATGCAGAAGGAAGATTGCCGGAAAAAGCGCGTCCATGTCTAGAACGTGCTGGACGTGAGACACCTGCTTTAGCCAATCAGAACAGTCAGACGCATTCACATGCGCGCGGTTTATGAGAATAAAAGCCTTTGAATATTTTTCCAGACACCTTTAGCTATTAGATGTTAGTCAGATAACGTTTCTATGTTCCTTCTTAATGCTAACTGTGTAAATAATTATCGATAAAATGTTTATGATAATCCGTTGTTTGTTTTTGCGTGTGCCTGTGAGCGCCAGCACACACACATATTATGAACATCCGACATGCGAAAGTGTTTCTCTATGTTTTCATTAGAGTTGTACTCAACACTTATCCATCCAAAGAGTTTGTAATGTAGTCGAATGTCTACAAACACAAGCGAAGCCGTTTAGAGGTCATTTCTGGTTAATGATGTCAGAATTTACCGGCATTTTGCGATGGATGTGTAAATGCTCTTTTCCGGAAAAATTCCGTAACGTCCTCGCCTGTGTGAACAGCGCTTTTTTCAATATACCGGTAAAGTCGTTCCGGAAATTTTCCGGATATTTACCGGTATCACTGTGTGAAAGGGGCTAATGAAAGTAAATGATGCAGTAGAGAATTAGTAATGTAAACTTGTCATATTAGAAATGTGTTTGCTTCCTTGTATCTCAGTTTCGATTTTTAAATGTAACATATGTTACAAATGTAAGGTGGGATCTCATTTTTTCCCTATAAAAACAGAAATGGGTTTCCATGATCAGCTGGTGAATTGAGGGACTTTACAAACCTTCATGAGATGGTCCACACGGGCCAGCAACTGTGTGTTGATGGACAGTCTGCAGTACAGCTTGTCTCCTGGTTTAGCCACCAAGCGCATTGCAAACTCCCTCTGAAACATCAGCACAGCACATCTAAACACACACACACACACACAAACACACACACACAAACACACACACACACACACACACACACACACACACACACACACACACACACACACACACACACACACACACACACACACACACACACACAATAAAACCAACTCAAACAGAATAACAGCACTAATAATACTGATATTGTGATGAACTCAAACTTATCTACATCGAGTGTCATTTTCCACCAATTATGCTTCATTGTAAGTGTTTAGCATATTCATGAACAATACAAAACAGGCAAATCTGAGGCTTTAGCTAACTTGTGTGAATATAAGAAACCTTAAAGAATAATAATTATTATAATATAATTAAATAATAATAAATATTTTTTTTAAACTTTTTGTTTAAAGAATGAATCCTGCAGTCACATTTACTGACACATCCTACAAAAAAAAGTTCTTACCTAAAAAATGGCCTGTGGAGTAACAACTTGAACACAAAAGGCGATGAAATCTAAGGAAAAAAATCAAATGTGCGAATATCAGTGATTTTGTAACAATCTGCAGTACACTTCATTGACTAACATGACCCAACAATGACAAATACTTCTGAAGTGATAATTTCTCTGAAGTTCTTTGTTACTCTCAATTAAAGAGACAATGAACAAATAAAATTAAATTGAATGCATTATTTAACAAAAATCCTGACCTGTTGACCATTCATACTGTAGAAAGCACTGTTAGCACCAGAAAAGACCCACAATTAGTTGGAATATCAATGCAAATTAAACACTACATAAAATTCAATGCCTGTATGTTTAAGTTATTGCATTTATCTGACAACTAGAGTGGGCGACGCAGTGAGTAGCACGCCTCACAGCAAGAAGGTCGCTGGTTCGATCCTCGTCTCAGTTGGCGTTTCTGTGTGGAGTTTGCATGTTCTCCCTGCGTTCGCATGGGTTTCCTCCGGGTACTCCGGTTTCCCCCACAGTCCAAATACATGCAGTACAGGTGAATTGGGTAGGCTAAATTGTCTGTAGTGTATGAGTGTGTATGTGTGTATGTGTGGATGTTTCCCAGAGATGGGTTGCAGCTGGAAGAGCATCCGCTGTGTAAAAACTTGCTGGATAAGTTGGCGGTTCATTCCGCTGTGGCGACCCCAGAGTAATAAAGGGACTAAGCCGTCAAGAAAATGATTGAATGAATGAATGAATGAATAAATGAATGAATGAATGAATGAATGAATGACAACCATTGAGTTCCCATCTAGAGGAATTCATCTCAGTAAAGAAACTATGCATATATTTTCTGGGATTTCTTGGCATTGTGAATCATATTTTAAATTTTGATTTATTCAAACAATGAGTAAAAGATTCTTGTAAAATAATGCATTAAATTTATGTCATCATATTTTTATCATCTTAATGCTGGTCATACACTGCAATTATATGGTCAAGAGTGAACAAGACCTGTTTTTTTCTTTATGGTTACAGAATGAAAAAAGAAAACGGCATGAGTTTGGCATGAAAACCACATCAGAGTAAGCAAGTTTAAGTATTTAAAATTCGCTTTGAGTACATGTTCAGTGCTGTACAGCAGATGTACTCAGAAATCAGATCTACAGCAACTAAAGAGATAAACAAAATAATAAACAAAACATTACCTGATAAGGCAGATTAGCCACGCAGACATCAAAAAAGGGGAGTTCTGTTTTGAGGACGTCCCCGATGAGGATCTGAAGTTTGTTCTGCATTGGACTGTTCAATAAAAAGGATTTTTCGATTAAGCATGTGCTAAGTTTGTTGTTGGGGTAGTGATGATAAAGTTGTATGAAAAGTACTTACGTGCACTGGACTCTTTTTTGAAGCTCAGCAACAAGCCTGGTGTCCAACTCACACGCAACCACCTTTAAGTAAAAAGTAAACAATGAAATAACGGTTGGTTGAGTTCCAATAATATTTAAATTAGAAAGAAAACATCCATTAAAAGCTACTTACTTTCTTGGCTTTCTCCAGAAGTTTGACAGTCATGTTACCTGTTCCAGGACCAACTTCCAGAACAACGTCTGTTGGTCGCAGCGCTGCCTGAAAAATACATTTTGTTAATAAATAAATATGCTGATTATGATGTGCTGTAACAGTATAGACGTGCACTGAGAAAGCTCATTCAGCCTTAAAAGGAAATAGACAAACAATCCAGAAAAACTCATAATCCCTATTACTGACCTTCTCTATGATGCCGTTGACAACCAAAGGGTTTTTCAAAATATGCTGACCGATACCAGTATTAAACATAATTCCTGAAATATGGAACATGGGTTAATGTAATCCAATATTGAACAAAAAAAGTCAAAAGTATTTTTTGAATGGGTGAGTGAGATTACTTAAGGTAAAGTTGTCTATATTCCCACATTCAGACTTTATAATTTCAGTAAAGTATTCTTTGCCAATTCTAAATAGTAAAATCATATTAGCAGCCAGTGACTATCAAAATACAACACTGTTTACAGTTAAATAAATAACACTAATGTTTTTTAAAAGTCACACTTACATGGAATTTCTCACTGAATATTCCAACTAGCATGTCACAAACTGTCACTATTCAAAAAAGAATGAATGTGTGAATATAAAACCAACTTTACCCCGATGTGAGACTAGATTCAACTTTATTGTCATTATACATGTACAAGTACAAGGCAACGAAATGCAGTTTAGGTCTAACCAGGAGTGTGACAGCAGCAAGTACAGGATATAGGTATACTTTATAAAGTGCAACTATAGAAAAACTATGGAGACATTTACAGATGGATGTACTATGAACATAACTGGTTGTATTAAATATGAACAGAGATTTACAATAGATGAATGTGCACAGGCTGCTATTAATAATCAGAAATATGCAGATATATACAGTTGAAGTTAGAGTTATTAGCCCCCTGTATTATTAGACCCTGTTTATTTTTTTTCCCAATTTCTGTTTAACAGAGATATTTTTTTCAACACATTTCTAATTATAAACATAATAGTTTAAATAACTAATTTCTAATAACTGATTTATTTTATCTTTGCCATGATCAAGGTAGATAATATTTTACAAGACATTTTTCAAGACACTTCTACACAGCATAAAGTATTATGTTAAATAGGTTTACTAGGCAGGTTAGAATAATTAGGCAAGTTATTGAATAACAATGGTTTGTTCGGTAGACTATTGGAAAAAATATATATAGCCTAAAGGGGCTAATAATATTAACCCCAAAATGTTTCTTTTTAATTAAAAGCTGCTTTTAATCTGGCTGAAATAAAACAAATGAGATTTTCTCTAGAAGAGAAAATATTATCAGACATGCTGTGAAATTTCCCTTGATCTGTTAAACATAATTTTTAAAACATTAAAAAAAAAGAAAATATATATAAAACTCTGATTTAAGCTGTGTGAACAATTACAAACGTATATGTGCAGTGGACATGTACAATTCAAGATGAATTAGTTCAACAAAGTGCAATGAATACGTATAAATATTAAATAGTGCAGTGTTTATGGGGAGTAAGACCGACTGTTTTGCTTTGGGACATCACTGTTGTGAGAAAACTGAATATACACAGTAAACATATAAATATACTGTACATTTCCTGGTTTAATTTATAAATGTTAACTGGTGTTTTAGAGGTGCAAATACTGTATAAAATAAGTCAAAACAACTGGGATTAATTTATATACATGAGATGAATGAAAGTAAACATTTTGGACCTAAAAATAGCTATAATGCCTCCTCTTCTGTTTTGGAGTAAGAAGTGACCAGGAAGTGTTACTAGCAAGTTCTAAAAGGTTTATATTATTTAAATTTTAAATATATTACAGGTTTAACTTTGATTATTATATCTATAAGGGGACATTTGATTAAATGGTTTGACAGCATGCAGTACTAAAACATTTCAAACCAACCTTGACTCTTCACCTCCTGGTGTGTTCGAGACTTCTTCTCGGCTTTAACCTTCGGCATTTTGACAAATAATATCAGCGACAGTGAAAAGTAAGATGTAAATCACAAAAATACTTATACGTTTACAGCACCACAAACACGTGTAGAAGCTACAGGGTTTATTCTGTTTCCTTTCAGCTGATCTGGGAGGAAATTCGGTTGCGGTTGACCTTGCGCTCCCTCTGCCGTTCTGGAGGAGACGTGCAGGAACCGGAAGTGACCTTTCAGTGGGTTTTGCGGGTAGTACATTTTCGCGGCAATCCGAACGTGATGCAAAGACTGCTGAGGAATATGACAGCTGATTTTGACGTTTAATAAAAGGTAATCTTGTCATACAAGTCATTAAAACGTGTTCATTAGGATTGTCTTATTTCGAACTTGCTGTTATGTTGAGTAAAACTGTTTATAAAGCTAAATAAGTGAATTCGCGAGAGCGCCATTGTGTTTACGTTAGTATTTAGTGAGAGACTTAACATTTCTGACTGTTATAAGTCCGTTTTAATAATTGTGTGGTGTGAATGTTTTTGAAAAACCTGTTTTCTTTTTTAGGAGGTTGTTTTTTTACATTTGAACATCAGAGGACAATAACAATGGCTTCAGTCACTGCAGAGGACATCAAGTCTGAGCTGGACACTTTCAACATAGCCTTCAACAATGACACCATCGACAAAAGTAAATGTCCAATCTATTCATTGTGTGTGATTTTAGTATTGTTGACATGATTTAATGCTCTAAAATATATGCATCTCTTAATTTTAAACACACAAATATACATGTATGTGGTTGTGTGTTTGTAGGCAAGTACTTACAAATACACATTGAGGTAAATTTGGTTTTATGTTCACACATTAGGACTTTCTCCTTAATAATAATAACTTCAGAAATTATTTATTGCAAAAAAAAAACTGAAATCATATTAGCAGCAAATGACTATCAAAGTACAACATTGTTTGGAGTCAAATAAATAGTACCAGTGTTGTTTTCAAGTCATGCTTACATGTGATTTTAGACTGAATATTCAAATTACCATGCAGAGTTTTCAACTAACCCAAGTGGTTAAGATATTTTCTTGCTCTGCCAATATTTTTACTGGCCCCACCCAAAAAAAAAATAATTGCTATTTTTTTTAGCCACACATTTTAAAGAATGTGTCAAAAATAATCTAAGATGTATATATTTTTAAAATGTATTGTGAGCAAAATTCAAAGTGTTATGCAAACAAATAGAGCAGTATGGAAAATGTGCCGGTGTTTTATTGCAGCTCTACATTATTTAACAAATGGTGGCTGACTTGCCAAACTGAAAACTAACTGTGCAAACATTACTTCATTTTTTTCGTTGTGTTGTATCCACATCTGCTACTAAGAATTTAGAAACAAACGTTTTCGTTTAGCCTCATAATTTTATGCTACCGCCTCGTCGCTGAGACCAGAAACAAAAAAAACATGCTCACAACATCTAGTCACATAAGAGGACCCGAAAAGCAATATGGTGTTTTTGATATCACAGAGAAGGTAGCATTTAAAGGCTTAACAGCACAAACTGTTTCTCGATTCTAAGACTGTATTTCGACGCAATTGACATTGTCGCAGGCAAATTAAACTTTAGTAAGCACTGGTACGATTGGGCCAGTAACAATCCTGTCTACTGTCCTGAGCATTTCACACGCTGGCCTGGGCCATCTTCTTGTTGAGCCCTGCCACGGTGAACAATAAAGGGAGCATGTCACAAGTTGTCACTGAACGAATGTGCGAAAAACTTTACCTCAATTAAATACACATGACTTTTGTTTTTTTTTCTATTGTAGTGTTGGAGCAGTGTTTTTGTCACAGGCTGACGGGTGAAGAAATTGTATTCGAGTGGTTTGCTTTTAGCTCCACCAGAAAGCAGCTGCCGCTCACTCTCGAAAACCTGGACCAGTTTGAACAAGAAGTTAGTAAAATGACATTAAAAACTCCAACTGAAATTCTGCAGTGCTTTGAGATGCCAAAAATAAGATCCACAATGTTTCTATGCTTCATTTGCTTTAGAGCTAAACAATACAGTATTCCTGTATATCTTTTCAGCATTGATATTGCAATGTGTGAATCCTCAGTCACATTACATAGATATGCAATGTTGAGTTGACTTTGCGGTGTAATTTATTTTTACATTTACATATACAAAACCATAAAGCTTGCACTGTTTATTACACCTTTTTTTGCTTTGTTGCATTTATCTATGCCTGTAGTGTACTACATTTTATGCGATTTACTCCCTTTTAAAATCATCCCAATCAAACAGATATAATACATTTGTTAACACTTTAGGGACCAATTCTCACTATTAACAAATTGCTTATTAGCATGCTTGTTGTTGATATATTGGCTTCTTATTAGTTCTTACAAACAACCACAATAACTATTAATAAGGAGCAAATTAGGTGTTTATTGAAGCAAAAGTCATAAGGGTTTGCTAAGAGTGAGAATTGAACCTTAAAATAGTGTGACCAAAAAACTATTTAGTCATTTGGTGGAACTGTATAGCATCAGTGTATCGCAATGTACATTACAGACAAATAAAATATTGCAATGTCAAATTTTTCTAGGATTGTGCAGCCCTAATTTGCATACTGCTTCTGCACTCCTTACAGGTACTGAACAAGAAGAAAAAGCCTAAAAGCACCTCAAAGGGAAGCCAAATAAACAAAACCAGAGACATCAACTCCATCCAGGAGCTGTATCCTCATAAAGCTCAACATAAAGATTAATGATTGTTTAATTTTTATTCATAAATGTTCAAAGTGATCTTCTTAACTGAGTCTTGCAGAATCAGAGCAGAGGAGGAAGAGGAGAACATGCTGGATTCCTATTCAACACCTGCCAAGGTGAGACTAAATAAAGACAGAATAATGAGGGAGACTTGTTGGAAATGTATGAAGATAGATAAAAATGCATGGTCTGCAAGTGTTTTTCAGTCACAGATTAACCTCCGGTTAAAGGTTACTGTGGCTATTTTAAATTTCATAAGGTTCCTTTTACAGCATTGATGATGTGATGTATTTAAATTATAATCAGTTAAACAGACGTAAGCATTCATTTAGTTGTTCAAGTGTAAAATTGATTGGTTCGCCAGGAGCAGCAGGCTAGTGCAGAAACTTAATTAAAATACTGGGGTAACATAAATTTCCATATTTTAAGACACCGCATGGAACAATGGAATTTAATGCAGTGCTTCTTGTCCAGTCTGAGACCCACTTTTTAATATATGAATCAGGCAGTGAAAATCATTAATTTTTACAGAAACCAGAATTTAAATGCAGTGATTTTTGTATTTGGATGACAGTTCACCGGAAGCGCTTGAGCTGGCTGATTAAAAATGAAAAGCCTTTCTGCGTATTATATGTTGATCTAAGTTGAGAAAGTAGTGTAGAGATCAGGCTTTAAACTTTCTTTCTGTCATACAACCCGACTTGTTTATTCGATACTGTAATTTACATTATATTAAAAACTGGATCGGTTAAATAACATGAGTTAATTTCTGCATGAACACAGGGCTCTCAGAAGCGAGCACTGACCACTCCTGAACATCCTCAGTCTAAGAGAGGTGTAGCCCGACTCGCCAGTCCCAGTCTAATGCTGTCACCTGCCAGCTTCTCACCAAGGTAAACAAACTGATTTGACATTTTTACTTTTAAGAGAATTTGATGCACTTGTTCTATATTATAAAGATCGGTGATGTGTTTGTGTAGTGCAACCCCTTCTCAAAAGTACGGCATGCGTGGGGGGAGAGGAGAGGTGGTTTCCACATTTGGGGCAGTGCAGGGTCCGCGCTGGATGGGGAAAGGACAGACTGCAGTGAGCGTGGAGATGCTGGACGGAGGAGAGAATTCACTCATCAGCAGCTACAAATACATGTTTCAGAGACTGAGGGACGTGCGGGACGGTGAGAAAACATTTTTAAGATTTCTGAGAAACACAGGTTTTGTACGGGTGCTGGGTCCTTGAAAATGCTTGAATTGTTATGTAAGGTTTGAAAAATGCTTAGATTTTGCTTTTGGATAAAGTGCCTGAATATATAATTGTGGCTTTTCTGTTAATTTATAGGGATGAACCGATATGGTTTTTTTTGGGCAGATAACGATAACCAAATCTTAAAGAGTTATGGAAGGCAGATAACCGATATATATATATATATATATATATATATATATATATATATATATATATATATATATATATATATATATATATAGATATAGATATAGATATAGGCCAATAAATATAAACAGCTCAAAATGTAATATTTTATACAGTGAACAACTGGTTTTATTTTTAAAACTTCATAAAAGTTTAAACTGATCTTACTTATGAACTGAATAACAAAAAAGCAATAATTTCAAAATTGCAAGGTGATTATATAGACCTATATTCACCATTTCACATAAAACGGCATGCAAAATATAAATTCTTTTCTTTTCTTTGCATAGCAAATTAACATGCAACTTGACTTTTGCATAAAAATAATTGGTTAAATGGGATTTAATTAATAAAAAAGCAAAATAAATACATTTTAAATAAAATGAACGAATTAAGAACTCAAACCAGCTCAAATGTTATTGAATTAAATGTGTTACAGTAATGTACAAATATGTAATGTCCGAAAACTAATTTTAAGAGGTGTTTTGACAGGTTAGACCCACCGTACAAGCGAAAAGCTTAATAAAGATAGTGTTACTTTTGGAAATGCAGCATAAATTAGACCCATTTGGCGTTTCAGATTGGGCCGGTTAAGATTCTGACGATATAATAACATTGGATAAAAATATCACGGTTTCACGGTATTGTGCTCGCTGCTCTAAAATATATTCTTTAAAAATGACCTAGTAAAAAACAACAGATTTTTTCCCCCTTGAAAACAATATATTTTATTTTTTGAAAGATTAAAATATTTTGGAGCAGTAAACATGTCAGGCTAAAAATGAAAATGTATCATAGACTTGTGCTAATAGCAAATAATCATATTAGATTGTAAACAACCCAACGAGTTGTTTATAACATGTGTATCACTGCTATTATGCTTAACTTTACATTTACAATATTTTTTCTGAGGTGATTTTAAACCAAAATACACAATGACACTATCAAACATAATTACAAAGATGATATTAAACAGAGTTATTAATTATTAATCCCTTATTAATTTATATGAATAAATAGATAACAATGATTAACTATTTAAATAAAATAGATACTCTGGAATCTGCACATGTGCCTGTAGTGTGGTCTGGTCTTTTTTATCTGCAATTAATCTGAAATTAAAATAAATACAAATTTAGGATGCAAGTAAATAACAAATAAGAGTAAAGACTGTAATTCAGTGTCAGGCTTGGGGCAAACATGGAATTAAATATGTTACTATTACTATAGCATAAAATGATGATTAGCATCTAATATAAGTTGCTGATTATGTATATTCATGTAAATATGCACCAGGAAAGTGTTTAAATTTGACTTTGGGGAAAAAATTTAAGAACCCTGTGAAACAGTTCCATCAACATAGTAAGACAGATTTGTGTTTGTATTATATGATGCATAGAGATTGTCTTTTTACATATTTGTATACATTTGCAAATGTTCTTTCCTTTGTTTGTAGTTCTGACAGGAAAGATTGAAGAGCTGGGAGAGGAATTGCGGACTAACTTTAACATCGAGGAATTTGCTCCAGTTTCATTACCGGTTCAGGTAACAACAAGCATCATTATAGAAACTAATTCTAAAACTGCCTAAGTAATATGAAGATAGAACAGGGTAATGGTTGGTGTGATGAAGTTAATTTTGGAGTTCATGTTTACCCATTTTGGCTGAATTTGGTGTAAGTCCTCTTTGGTTCTCTCCTGCAGGACAGCATCACAGTACTGGGGCAAGTGTGCTGTGACAGTAACGGAAAGCTCAATGCCCAGTCTGTGCTTTTGGAGGCTGGACAGGAACAGGGAGGCAGACAAGTTCCTGTGGATCTGTCTGAGCTTAAAGAGTTCTCACTCTTTCCTGGACAGGTGAGATGCACACATACAAGTCTCAGGAAAACACAGGGCATGACAAAAATTTCATATCATGACATGTCATCTCATATCCTAAAAATGAAATGTATCAATCAATTCAATGAACTTATAGTTCTTATTGACCACATGTAAAGGACTATTTCTTTTTTTGCCTGTTAAAGTATATACTCAGAAATTCACTCATCTGTATGTGATCACATTACTTACTAAAATTTCAGTGCAAATGTTTGATTAAAAATGTATGAAATAAATATTTATATTAATTTAAAAACTGCAGTGGTGGCTAATATTGCTCTCATATAAATGATAAAAAAGTGTTACTATAAACAATGTATTTTTTGACACCTTGAAATAAACTATGGAGCATAATAAAACAATTGACTTTTTTAATTTGTAATTTTTTAGGCTCGCAGATTTTTGCATACATTTCTTCACTGATATTGCTATTACATGTATATTTCACAAGCCAGAACAAATACTTCTTTAAAAGTTAAAGAAAAAATAGTTAAGAGTCAAAAAAATATATTTTTGACTGTATTTGTAGGTTGTTGTCATGGAAGGTATGAATCCCTCGGGGGAGAAGCTTGTTGCTACCAAGCTGTACGAGGTAAGGTACCTCAGTCTGTTTGGTTTAGTTTACACTTTGTTAAATGATGATATTTATTTAGAAATGTGTTTGTCCACCAGGGCATCCCACTGCCTTTTTACTGTCCTTCTGAAGTGAAACAAGAAATGGATGAAGGTAGGAATGCTGGACATTCATCAACAAGATCCCTGCTGAGTGTTCACATTAAACCCTTCATAACGAACCGTCTTTATTTCAGTGTGTGAGCCTGTGATGGTCATGATAGCCTGTGGGCCGTACACTCCTTCTGAAAGTCTGACCTATGACCCTCTGCTTGACCTCATTACTATTATCAATAAAGATCGTCCTGATGTCTGCATTCTGGTGAGTTCAGCTTCATAGCTAACATGCGATTATTATTATTATTATTATTATTATTATATTTTTTTCCAGGTTTAAATTTTTCTGTGAAAGTCTGGATAGTGATTAACTGTTTTTCCTTCTTTCATAGTTCGGACCTTTTGTTGATTCAAAACATGAGCAGATTGAGGTAAACCAAATTTCTCGTTAGAGATGCCATTTTAAAAGTCACTATTTTGTTAGTGTAATAGAACTGGATAATATGCTTAATGGGCTGATTACACTAAACACGCTTTTACGTCCAAACACGCGAGGTGCACCACACTGCCTCGCGTGTTGACAAGAAAAAAAGAAGCGCAGTACACTTTGTCACTAGGCAGCGACAATCAACTGCATACTGTACACGAGCGCTGCTGTTGAGTTTGTTATAAATGTAACATTTATTAATCCTGTAATATTCAAGATTTGTAAAGGCATGCAGCTCTGGATAAATTGAAACAGTGAAGCAGCCTCTCCTCCATCATTAAAAGTCTCCTTAGTCATCTTTACAACACAAACACTGCTGTCACCTCAACCGAAAACCCTGCCTCTGCATTCATTTGATTGGAGAATGAAACAGACGCGACTGACTTAACGCGCTTTTTCCGCTCAGAGTTTATTTTTTTCATCTGCGAGCGCACTCTGCGCAACAGCAAAAAGCAGGAGGTTAAAACCTGAGGCGTGCATAAGCAGCGCGTAAAACACTCACGCCCGTTAGTAAACCATTCAAAAGATGCACCTCTAAACGCAAAAAATCGCTTTCGATGTGTGGCCCTTAATTGTACATTACTGCAGCACCTCTATTCTCAGTCTGCATGAAATGCTCTTCAAAAATACATTCCAAATGTATCGCATTCCAAACTACAGTGCTCAAACCTGTCCACTATGAAGGCCCTTTAAAATAAAGGATTTTGAAAAATACAATTGATGGACACTTCAGGCTATTATGCTTTTAGTAGGGAAGCTGTTTGGTGTTACACACTGCACTTAATTCAGAAGGCCTCATCGCTCTGCTCTAATACCTCCATCCCTTTAGAGGGACCCTCGAAGTGATTAGGGCATAAAGATGAGCCATTCTGAATGGAACTTTCCACAAAAACTCCACCTTACAGAAAGCCCAGTGTTTTGATTGGCCAGCTGACCAATTACATGTTGATTGATCAAACATCTCAAACAATAACACAAGGCTTTTTCATCACATGACAACACTGCCCATCACTGAAACCTCGCCTTCTGTATTTGCGTATGCCTTTTGCTGATGTCATGCTAATCTTAAATGTAATTTAACGTTAGAATAATTCCCAAAGTTTTATTTTAGCAGTGATCTTTTTTTAGATATACTCAGGCCAAATGGATTCATGTACATTTTATACAGACACAAACCTACATTACATCCAAGAGGAAAAGGAAAGCTTTACAAACCATCATATGACCTCTTTAACATTTACTGTTATGCACACAAACGTAAGCACTCAATGTTCAACATTCTCAACAGAAAAACCAGGTGACAGAAACATTTGAGACCATCTTCAAGAGATGTATGGACAGCATAGTGGAAGGAACCAAAGGGTGTGTAGATCTTTTTCTCTACATCAACTATAAAGCACTACTAGCGATTACAACTCTTTTTCAATGTACACTCTTTTTCTTTTTAAATTATCATAGTACGGCATGCAAGTTGGTGTTTGTTCCATCTCAGAGGGATGTCCATCATCATTACATTTATCCTCAGCCACCCTTCAACCTGACCATCAGCAAAGAGGATACAGCGGTGAGATGATTAGCTAAACCTTGTTCATCTCAATGTAACTGGCCGTCCTCTTTCCTTGAATGGTGGTGATTAATATTTGATCTATTTGTGTGATTCAGGCCAAGCGTAATTAGAAAGAAATGCTTTTATTCAACATGTCATTATCTTAAACTAGAGGATGTTCCAATTGCTCATGTTGTCTAATATTGTCTTTCCACCCTTAGCGAGTGACTTTAGCCCCTGACCCCTGCACACTCCTCATTGGTAATGTGACTTTTGGCCTGACTTCTACAGACATTCTGTTTCATATGGGAGCAGAAGAGATCAGCAGGTAATGCTACTCACAGCAAATGTACATACAGTATGCGCTGTAGTTTATTTAGGAATGACTTGGTTTTTTTTTTTTTTATTGTGGTTTCTGGTTATTTTCTAATTTGAAAAAAAAAATGACTTTAAAAAAAATGAGTGAACACAAGCATTCAGGTGGCTTTTCTGTTTTTTGCAGTGGGACGGGGACAGAACGTTTCTCACGCATCATGAAACACATGTTGACCCAAAGGAGGTTTGTCAAATATGCATCTTAAAATATAACCTCCCCAGAGAAATGTTATGTTGGTTGTCTGTATTGCTATTCCTGACAATTGAATTAACCTTTAAATGGATTATTATTTCAGCTACTATCCTCTCTATCCTCCTGCGGAAGAAGTTAACATGGATTATGACAAGTTTCAGCAGTTCAGCCAAATGAGCCTCACGCCTGATATTCTTGTGGCTCCTTCTGAACTTCGGTATTTTATCAAGGTAAATCAGTCACGTTTCAGAATAAAATGTTAGCATATTTATACGCATTTATTTTTATATTTACATTTATATATGTCAAAAAGGAAGACATCTTAAAGTGTCTGAAATAATTTGCTATTCTTTCTCAGGATGTGATTGGCTGTGTATGTGTCAATCCTGGCCGTCTCACTAAAGGTCAGATAGGCGGGACTTACGGACGGTTACTCATTCAGCCAAACCCTGCACTGGTGGAAGGCAAGAGAGTGAGCCCATGTATAGCAGGGCAGGTGGTCAAAATATGAGACCATACAATGTTTGAACTTTATTACATCATGTCTGTATTTTTTATATCTGTATTAAATCTTTCCACTTATAGTGACTGGAAATAAAATACTTTGTAAAAAGGGAACCTATCGTGATTGTTTTTTTTTTTTTTAACTGCCTGCTCTACTAAATGGCTGACCATATTTTGACTGTTTTAAATAACGGTTCACACAAAGCATTGTTGGTTTACAAAAAGAAAAACAAACAAACATAATCCTGTTGCACTAATACACTTGATTTTGGGTCTATTGTAAGAAAGAAAACATGTTAAATGAGAATATGAAATATTTTATGGCACACCTTAAAAATGTTTGATTTAGATTTTTTGTTTTTAATGAATTGGTCATCTTCATGTTTTCTGATTTTTCATAGTATATGTATTAATTTTGGTACTTTAACCGTAAATCGACATATGAAACATTTTGTAGAGGTTGATATTTAGAAATTGTGGGATGTGTTGAAAAAAATGCATTGAGTGTTTTAACTAGTAACACGAGGAGTTAATGCAATCCAAATGAGTTTTTCTTGGCGGGGCAGTAAACAAGATAAAATAGATGCTTTTATAAATGTGCTTTAAAAGATTTAACACAAACCATGCTGTAAATGGCCCTTTTCTAGGGGGAAGAAAAAGCAGTTTTTGTTTGTCTATTTATATGTAAATGAGGTAAATAAATGAACTTACATTTTCCTTTATGTGAGCAATTTATATTCCAAAGGAGAAAGAATTGTCATAAAAACATGCTTTTTCAATCTCTATACTGCTGATGTTATTTACACCACACAGACGTTTGGAGAAAATAACCAAAAGCCAATTACTAGGCCCACATGGAATTTAGTTGAGTAAATTAGTATTTATTCAGTTTTTAAATTAATTTCAGACTTGAAAATTAAATTAATCATAGACTTGCTTTCTTTACCAAATAAGTGGATCTAATTGGATTTGCATTGTAAACATTAAATAAGTTTGTATTATTTTTTTATTTCATATATTACATTTTAATTATGATACTCTCAAAATCATTTAACATAAAGCCTCAGATTTTTTAACAAAATCCTCTGCAAAAATAGCAGAAAAATGTCTACAGATTCTGTCTGGCCCTACCAATTACCCATTTAGGAATTCAACATTTGTTGTTGAATAGCCGATTTCACATTAATCATGACATTACAGAAGGTTTATTGAACTTGGTTTCATATTGACTTTAATTAAAGGATTAGTCTAAAATGAATTTAAAAAGAATGAAAACTAAGCATGTATCACCTTTCTCACATTAAGGATGTTTTTAAAACTCTAAAATGAATTGCAATAAAAAGCCTGAATATACAAGAAAAACATCCTTTCAGATGACTTTACAGAAATGTACAAAACATTACCCTGAATGTGGCAACCTGGAGTATTTACATTGAAGAGCTCTGTTTAAAGGTTTCCTCTTTAGCTGGGTATGTGTTCCAGTTTCATCACAATGTCACTTAACTTAGGATCCTCTCTCCAGTTTACTTTACTAGCCAGTATAATTCCCTAGGAAAGAAGGAAGCAATAAGATGACAGAATAATGACAAGTACTGGAGCAAACACAAAGGGAAGCCACATACCCGGAGCACATTTTGCAAGATAGTGGTGATCCTCTGGTATTTCTGCAGAACAGCCTCAGCTCTTTCCTTGGTTTTCTGCTGAACCTCTCCCTGGTTTTCCTTCTCCTGCTTCAACTCGTTTATCTCCTGCATCTTTTTCTTTATCTGTCCTTTTAGATCTGTCAAAAAAAGGAATAAGACCTTTATACTTTCCTAGCCATCATACTAAAAATGTAAGTGTTAATGTATTTTCTGTTTTAGTTTTTAAAAGCAACCATCACAACCTGTCAAAATATTTCAAAATCTTTAACCGATAGACTTTAGCTGATAAAAAAAAAAGTCACATTAAAATATCAAGTACCAAGTCTTTGCTTTTGGACATCTGTAATCTGGTCCTGAAGCTCTCGTGTTTCCTAGGAGGAAAAAAAGATCAGCAATTAAACATTCTGTGGCTATAATTATTCAAATGCACTCACTGGCCACTTTTTTAGGTACACCTTACTAGTACTAGGTTGCTGCAGATTTGTCGGCTGCACATCCATGATGAGTCTCCCGTTTCACCACATCCCAAAAGTGCTATTGGATTGATATCTGGTGACTGGAGGCCATTTGATTTTTTCAATTCAATTCAATTCAGCTTTATTTGTATAGCGCTTTTACAATGTAGATTGTGTCAGAGAATCAGTCTGAGATGATTTGCACTTTATGACATGGCGAGTTATCCTACTGGAAGTAGCCATCAAAAGATGGACAAACTGTGGTCATAAAGGGATGGACACGGTCAGCAACAATACAGGTAGCCTGTGGCGTTTACACAATGCCCAACTGGTACTAATGGGCCCAAAGTGTGCCATGAAAATATCCCCCAAACCATTACACCAGCACCACCAGCCTGAACCGTTGATGCAAGGCAGGATGGATCCATGCTTTCATGTTGCTGAAGCCAAATTCGACCCTACCATCCTAATGTTACAGCAGACCAGGCAACGTTTTTCTAATGTATCATCCAATTTTGGTGAGCCTGTGCGAATTGTAGCCTCACTTTCCTGTTCTTAGCTGGCAGGAGTGGCACCCAGTGTGGTCTTCTGCTGCTGTGGCCCTTCCACCTTAAGGCTGGATGTGTTGTGTGTTCAGAGATGCTCTCCTGCATACCTCGATGTAACGAGTGGTTATTTTAGTTACCGTTGCCTTTCTATCAGCTTAAATCTGACTGGCCATTCTCCTCTGACATCAACAAGGCATTTGCGCTCACAGAACGGCCGCACACTGGACACCGCACACTTTTTTTAAGAGATGGTTGTGCATAAAAATCCCAGTAGATCAGCAGTTTCTGAAATACTCAGACCAGCCTGTCTGGCACCAACAACCTTGCCACGTTTAAAGTCACTTAAATCACCTTTCTTCCCCATTCTGATGCTCAGTTTGAACTGCAGCAGATCGTCTTGACCATAGCTGTTTCCCAATATGCGTTCTTCAGCGTTCTTGGGTCCTCGTGTTCTTCGGTAACGTCTTTATCAGCTGCCAAAGTTCAGTTCCAATACTCAAGACCGCAAGAACGGAGGATGCGTGAAACTTCCCGGATGTGTTCTTGGTATCAAGGACGCACCGATGCAGACTTGAGCACCGATCTTGTTCTAGAAGTGCCAGAAGTCATTGCGACTGGGGGTGGAAAGCGCAGCATTTTATATAGATTTATTATTAAAGTTGAGAGATATCACCTATTTACCTCAGGAGTTTCCCCTTAATAAAATGGTGAATATAAACATAACCATCTTAATAAAGAAATAAACACAATGTTTGTTTGCTGAAAGTCGTATTAAAATCTGATTTATATTGCGCAACATATATTTATAATGTTTTTAAGAATGGTATATATTTTGAAAAGGGGGAAAACAATAAATCGTTGTATGAATGCGTTACTGTTTAAATAATTTTCTATTTAAAATGTGTGATGGTCATGTGACCATCAGGAAGAACGCAGCAACTTATTTCTCACATGACGCGTTCTCTGTTCTCTTGGTCTCCTGAGTTTGTTCTTCCCAAGTCCGTTCTCTGCGTTCTTGGAATTGAGAAACAGCCCATGTCTACATGCCTAAATGCATTAAGTTACTGATTAGAATTTTGCTTTAACGGGCAGTTGGACAGATTAATCTAATAAAGTGGTTGGTGAGTGTATATGAGAGTTAAAATTGAGATTTTGGTGTTAACATTAAATTCAGAAAAGAGATTTTATTTACATAGCAAGCAAATTAAATGCATATGCATAACTTGTGAAAATTCCAAAATATGGGTGGAATTATGTTCTTGCTATTCAGCACTACATATATTTGTGTAAAAGTTAAACTCACAATTTACAAAAAGGGTTCATTAGTTAATGTGTTTGCTAAAATTAACTAATAATGAACAATACTTGTACAGCATTTATTAATCATAGTTCAACATTTACTAATGCATTATTATAATCCCAAATCCATGCTTGTTAACATTAGTTAATGCACTGAGTTAAACTAACAATGAACCAATTTATTTCCATAAACAAACATGAATAAATGCTGTAATAAATGTATTGCTCTGCGCTGATTGTTTATTTTAGTAAATGCATTATTACCATTAACTAATACAACCCTTTTGTAAAGTGCTAGTAATTTAAACCTACCTTTTCGGACACACATTTGATAATACATAGTGCTACATTTTTATATTCTAGATTGTTAAAAGCTTCTTCCTGACAAATTGGTTAAACCCAGTGGAATATATAAAATATATATTGACAATTAAAAAAAATGACAATTAGCTTTTTATATGGCTACATAAACTACTTTCATACTGATGGCTAAATCACTGCAGAAAATATATATATGCAAGTACTTTTTCCTCAGAAAGAAATAACAGGACATGTCCTAATGTACAGAGGAAAATCTAAAGCTATATAACACCTGCTTTGACCCGCGCCATGAGCAAAAATTCTTCTAAATCTGGCAAACCAGATGTCCACACCCACCTTTAAAATTTGGATGGTCTTTTCACAAATCTCAGAGTTCTGATTGGTCAGTTCCTTTAGTTCCCTGTTTGATTTAAAAAAAAAAAAATATTGTTATGACAAGTGTATATTAGACTACACGTTTAGATTTATTTAAATAATCAGGATTTGCTCACTCAGCATCTGCCCCATTCTGAATCATCTTTTCAATAACGGCGCTCCAAATCTGCATTCTAGAACACACACACAAAAACACTTTAACGTCAACAGCCACAGAATATTGCAAAAGAAAGTCTAACAACAGAATCTTTACCTGTTCAACACCAGTGTTTTGTTGAAGTGTGAGAGTCTTGCTTGCTCTATTTCACTTTCATACTTAGATCTACAGATTGTCACAAAGATACAGATAAATACATTAATAAATAATATATATATATATATATATATATATATATATATATATATATATATATATATATATATATCCAGATGCAGTTGAGTTGTTACTTTATAACATACAGTACACATATATA